CCGTGGTCGTATTTATCCCCTCCAAACCCAAACACTGTGACTGGCATAGACCTGGATCTGTCAACTATGCAAGATGTCTGCCTCTTCAAGTCTACCAGCTCCACCCCTCCCCAAAAAAAAATAGTTACCAGGACCTTCAATTCGTGACCATCCTTGAGATTCCAGGAGGTTCGGTCACAAACAGGCCTGTTAAGGGCCAGATAAGAGACTCCAAAGAGGTCACGAACTGAGGGTCCTGGTATAAAGTGTCATAGTTAGAAGATCATCCAGCAGTCACATGTCGGTGTGCTATCCATGGAGGTGGTCGGGGTGCCCAGCTACTCCACGGCCCCTGGAGGGGACCAAACACCACCCAACTCCATGTGACTCCTGGACGGAAGATCGAAAGATCGGCCCCAGGAGATCTCAGAATTCAACCCGCTGTGACACGCAGAACGTGATGCGAATGGTCCTGGATGGTCGCCCCCTTTCGCTATAGAACAAATGATGCATGACGCCCACCCAAGGGCGGGAGTGAAACTCTTCAAACATCTTCAAACCCAAGTCTTGATGGCTGATTCCCACATGTCGATGTCAGTGCAAACAAAAAAACATCCATATAGACTGGACTATTCACTCCCTACAGATCCACTGCCACCCCTCTGAGGTACGGTGAGGAGTGTTCGACACTGTTGAACTGACGTAGCTTTGGAGGGTCCAGTCGTACCCTAGACACTAAAGGAAAGAACCAAACACACCAGGACGTTCCCAGTGACCTAACTTGAGATCCCAGTGGCGGTCATGGAAAGGTCTGAAAAAGAGATGAAAAGGCACCAGCAGTCACATGTCGGGGTGGTGTGAAACGTCCTCTTACGTGAGTGGAGTAGCTGGGCACCCCGAACCTCCATGGATAGCACCCCGACATGTGACTGCAGGTATATGAGAAAGGTCCACGACCCATCTTCAAGAGGTCGGGAAGCTGGACTTTCATCCCTGATCCTCGAGAGATGACCTGGTTTTCGACTTCGGGACCTCCATCCGAGTGCTCCAGAAGGCCCGCTGGGAGCAGCTCACGCAAAGCGGCCAAGTGGGTAGCTGGGTCCCTGAACCAACGTGGGGTTGAAAGGTGTTCCATGGAGGCATGGGGCATGGGTTTTCAGGTGCCAAGCGCCACATGGGCCAGTTGCAGTGGAACTGTCTTGCCACATCATGAACCCTTAAGGGTCCAGGACCATCCGAATCGGAGGTCCTGCAAGACCCCAAGAACCATTCTCTGGAAATACTTTCAGCTCCAAGACTCCAAGACCATCCTCAGGAAGACCTGGACCCTATGGGGAAGCGAAGCGAAAACTCCGAGTCCTTGCGTCGGATCCAGGGAAAGACATCCAAATCAAAGGGGGGTGACCTGCAGGCTTTGGATCACAGAGCCCATCAGCTTCTTGCCAGGGAGCCCATTCGCCAAAGCCCACGCACCAATATGCAGAGACCAGGAAAGCTGAAGCTGAATGAACTAACATTCCTGAGCACCAAAAACACAGGGACTAGTGTTTCTTCTTTTGCCAACGGATCTTTTATACGCTAAAGCTAAAGGCTGGAGGGTGTTCTTTTCTTGATGCAAACTGCAAACGGATCTTAAGAAATTCAGGCCGATTCGGCTGTTTCTAGCGGAACGTCTGAACCCACGCATCTGCCACTTCGTGAAGCGAACGTCCGAATCAACGTCCACACGGGTCCAGGGGTGGTTGGTTCAGGCCACGGGCCCGGAAAGATAACGACATGCTGAGTAGTAATGATCCAACCTGAGTGATGAGTCGACACTGTCCCACCTCTTGATCCGAAACATCAGCAACAGTGAGCGTGTTTTCACTCCCAGTCCATTGAACTAACCATGCCATTTCTTGCAGCTGGCAAAAGCACCAAAGTCACGAGTCTCAGGGTGTTTTGGCTTGATGTCGTTCGGCCAACAGGACGGGCCCAATGTTGGGCCCAAACATGCACCAACTCCCAGATCTTGGGAGGTGTGGACTGTGTGGACTCCAAGATCATGCTCCACTTGTGCTTGAAAACACATCTCAAGACCTCTCTTCCCCCGCGCTGCCCTTCCACCTGCCCAGGGTCCAGTCCGCAGTACTGCCTGGCTCACTTTGCAGGGGCCCAGGAGGTAGGGGAGCAAGCTGCAAGTGAAGTAACCCACGCAGGTGGTGCGGAAGAGCAAACCTTGGATGGATTTGATTCTGAGATCTCCGGAGATCTCACGATCGATGTTCGTACCAGGACCTGGCCAGGCTGTTTGGAGACCTTAACAGGTGGTTTCTGGGAACCTGTGGTCACCAGGAAGCACCTGTGAAGTCGGGTGTTGGTACATCTCATCATTTGAAGTGGTCAAGCCGGCCAGCCGCCGTGAATCCCATTTCAACCCGGGCGGTATAAAAGTACTCCCTGTTTCGGTTTGGTGGTTGGGGTGGGTGCTGGGGTGGGTGTCTAACTGCCTTGTGAGGATGTTCTCGGAGCGGAAAAAAAAGCTGCTAGCAGGGCCTGGGGCCCTCATCTGATGGCTCCAGTGATTCTCCAATTCCCCAGGTGAATTGAGCACAAAAGCATCAGCAGGGAGAAATCTCACACCACTTCAAGGTGAACACTGTCCACGCTACTTTTTTTGGGTCTTGTACATGTTCTGTGGTGCAGAATGGTGCAGGATGTCTTCCATGAGGTGCGTGTCATGTCCTTAACTCGAGACATTCAGCACAATGGCCCAACAAAAACAGCCGTTGCACAGTTCAGCTGTGAAGGCCTCTCTATGCCTTCCATGCCTGTCACCACGGAATGGGCACCTTGAGTGTCACCTCATTTTCCCGATCCGTCCAGGAGCCCCCGGGTGCCAGAAGGGTCCAGTCATACCGAACCTGAGGAGGTACGACAGGAGCCCTAGGGATAGTCTTCTTCAAAGTCGTCTTCTTCAGGGCCCATGCACCGCCCCGGGCCCGTGCCGGCCGCGTCCCGGGCGCGGCAGGCCGCTTCCCGGGCCCTTGAGATCCCTCTGATCTCCGCTCCGACGTGGGAGCAAAGATCACAAGCAGGTGCACCATCTGGGCAACTCCCAAGGTGCACCCCGTTCCAGGAACTTGGAACACATCTTCCCCAGGAACTTGGGGATATAATGGAAAATCCACCATCAGCTGATCAGCAAAACCAGGTGTATGAATTGTAACACCTCTACATATCTCTTCCATATATAGGTTTTGATATGCTTTGATTCATCGTGGTTTATCAACACCATACCAAGCCCAGGACATGATTCAGGTCCAAGCTTGAGTCTGAAAACCTCAGAGTTGGCGTGTTTGCATGATCAACTCCCAAAATCATGTCAAACCTGACCTGTAGGGCCTATAGCGGAGGGACTGTTGGGGTCGTTCGGGAGCGATCCTGGATAAATCCAGACGTTGTATCCAGCTTCAGGAACCGCCCAGACGCTCCGTGAACGACGCCCGACTCCCTCAAAACCTAAGGAGACCCCAGACCCCAGACAATTCGGGCCCAGGGTCGCGTCTGGGGATAGAAATGACACCGATGACCGAGACGGGGAGGCCCGGAAAAAAACCACCAACACCACCTGATCCGGCCGCGCGGTTGGGGGTGTCAAACGTGGCGAACAAATGTGGCGACGGCGGTGCGATCCCGCTCTGTTGGCCGAGAGGCTCAGAAAGGCATCATCCTCGACACATGGAAACCCCAAGTAGCAGCAAACGCCTAGGCGAGGTCCAAAGCATCGTCTGATCATCCAACGAAAGCACCTTTTTGGTGAACGGCCTCCTTTCGAGGTCTTGGACACTTTGGCTATGTAGAAACGGCCTCCCAATTGACCTCTCAACGGTTCCCTGGGGTGCTGCAAAAAAACAACTAATAGGTCACACCTGTTGTTTTGTTTCGGCTTCATCTTCATTACAGGCACAAAAAAGGGCTCCACATGGCCTCTGCACTCTCGGTCTTTCTCGGTCACATCGTTTTTCTGTGCAAATTCATTTCATTTTAAGGGTTCCTCTTCAACGGGCATGGAATAAAGTCGGCTGTTTCATGGCTCAGCTTGAAAAAGGGCTCATCCAAATCAATGAACATCCCACCAAGGCACTGGAGGAGGCGATTCCCATACACATGACTGCTTTCTGTGCCGGATCATGCTTTGCATGCTCCGCACTTGTCATCCTGGAGGATTCTCGTCTATTCGGGGCACCTGGAGGATTCTTGCTGAGAAGCTGGATGAAGAAGACAGCTTCAGAACAAATGTTGACAGGCACATTCTTCCTCAAATATGTGTTAATCTCTGTTCCTCAGCAGCTCCCTGCCAATCCACCAGGACAACGGCTCAACCGGTCTAAGTCTAAATCGTGGTGGCCTCCAATTTGGCTGAGTCTCAATGGTAGTTGCAATTATGTGTATATATATATAGTGTGTGTGTGTGTGTGTTGCGTGTTGTATACACTAATTGCAACCATATCCTGCAACATCACGAACATATGGATGGACTTCGAACATGACAAAGACTTGGTTGGCTCATCCTCTGCAAGCCATTTGGGTTCGACTCCGGACTTGGCGCCCTATCTGAGGGCTCGAGCCAGCACCCAGCGGCCAGTCACGGTGTTCGTCTTCCGAGTCTGACTGGTCGGGCTGTCTGACCATCCGCATTGGCCATTGGACTAGTTCAGGAGGTATCAAACAAAAAATGGCCTCCAGTCTGATGGAATGTTCTGGGCTTTTCAGCGCTGGTCCCGCCTCTGGCCCAGTGTGGGCGGAAAAGGGTGCCACGCATGTCCAGTCGAAAGCCCTCAGAAACTCGCGCATGTGCATCCCTCCAAGTGGCTTCTGTGTAGGTCATAGGTCAATGGTCTATGTATGCCTGGCATCTGCAAGCTCCCGCCTTGAGCAGTTCGGTTGGAAGACTAAGACCACGGAAGACTTCCAAGGGTTCTTGAACCAAAAGCCACAACCCCCAGCCCAAAGCCGTTTTGGACCCACGGGCTTCTTTTTCACCCCAGCTCGCTGCCAGGTACAAGGCCTGGACGCGAGCTGTGGAGGCGTGTGGCGTATGGGAGGCACTACTTCTGCCACTGAGATGGACGTGTTCCATGTACACTCCGACTCCGCAACATGGAAGTGGGACCCCTTTTCTACTTGTAAAAGGAAAACGTCGTCTTCCTTTCGGGACCATGCCATCCACTTCCATGTGATGTGTTCATCAAAGGGTACCTGGACTCAACTGCCCTCGTACCCAGCGACAACGAAGTAAAACATGTAAAACAGCGACAAGGTTGGAGCACCCAATATATAGACTATCCCATAGATACCCCAGGTGATGGGTCCTTTTTCAGGCTACTTAGCCTCTCTTGGAGGTACCATGGCCCAGGCCCCCCGTGCTGAAGAGGTGTCCATTATTACATGTTCTAGGTCCTCAGTGGTTAATGGCGGTGTCCACGAACCCAGAAAACAGTGGGTCCTGGTACGTAGGTCTGGGGTACACACTGAGACTCCAAAGCAGTTAGTGGGATGTGGTCGGAAGAAGTCAGGCTGAAAAAAAATCACGGCCCATCATCCAAGGAGCACTATCGCTGGAGCACAGGCAGGAACAAAACAAAAATACATGTCCTTCAGCAAATAACCGCTTGGCTCACCCCGTGCACAATATCTACTTGCATGATCCTTGAAAGGTGCCACGTTCTCGAACATGGGGGGCAAATCTTCGAACTTGGAGTGTAGGGCAGAGCTTCCAATACCCTTGATGGAGAGAAGCCACGCGGGGCATAAGCCTTTTGGCGGAGGGAACTCGTGGACTCTTAATTGGACCATCTAACAATCTTGCCCAACGTGCTTATCTGCGGGCTTGTTGTTTCAACGACCCCTGGGCCGCCAGCAAAACATGAAGTGAAGAGGATGACCTGTTAACCACACCCGTCCCCACGCTGACCTCCCAACCTCCTGTCAGATCCGAGGAACGGCGAAAGCCTAGGAGAAGCAACAGCGCTTCCACCAGCACCAAGGAGACCATGAGGATCCGCAGACCCCGCAGTCCATCTGTGGAGGCTGGGGTTTTTGGCGTGGCGTCTTTCGTTCAAGCCCGCGAGGTGCGGCGCGTGAAGGAAGAAGGAAGAAGAGGATATATGTATACCCTACAAGTCCAAAGACTATAGTTTGACCGACTGATGTAAAGGATCTTCCTTTTCGGGTCACCTAAAGACCATTCTTTGTATAGTCTTTGACTCCCAGGGTATATATATATATATATATATATAGTGGATTGAAAGTAAATGGCACAAACGCCAAAGAGGTGGTTTATATGAACCCCAATTAAAACATTTAAAGGACATCTTGGGGTCTGTGCCATCTACTCTGAAACCAGTGTAGATGAGATCGGATGGGAGGTGTCAGAAAACACTGTGGGCGGTTTTTCGCACGCCTTTGAGAGTGGATAGTACAGTATAGGATACTGTAGTACAGTAGGCAGTGTTCTTTGGTGCGCAGGAAGGTCGACTGGTTGTGGAACTGGAAAAATTGCCAAATTGAGGTCAAGTTCCAGGTTCAAACAACCGCATGATTGCGTTGAGCAGGGGCAGGGGGGCCTTGGCTTGTAACTGCTTTAGTAAGAAAACCTTGGAAAGGCCAGTTGGTCCCAAAGGGACTTCAAGAGGCCTTGAAGGATGGTCAAGCCTTGAAGGATGGTCGAGCCTTGAAGGATGGTCGAGCCTTGAAGGATGGTCAAGCCTTGAAGGATGGTC